TGGCGAACACATGGTAAGCCAGCAATTGAACCGGAAACGTGACGACGCCGTTGACGTTGTGGCGATGAAGCGGAGCCCAGGAGAATCCCTCGATGTCCGGACACTCCACTACTGGCTCCCCCAACGACAATGGTGCTTCATCTTGGAACACAAAGGGAATGCTCGGAGAACTGCTGGATGCAATCGGCGCAGGAGGAAGGAGTCCTAGACTCTGGGCACTTCCAGTGATCATGTTCGGAGCATTGCTGCTCGCGATCGGCGCGGGCGAGAGAAGCTCAAGGCCCGGCGTACTTCCTCCCTTCCGATCAGGGACAAACTTCGAGGCGTTTCTACTCCTAGCGGCTTTCCTAAAGCACGCGACGAGAGCCCCAACGAGGCCAGGCGGATCTTGTGGAGTAGGGTCCGCCCCATGGGTTGCCCGAAAGGTGTTGTTCACGCGGGTGGCGGGCGTGTTGTTTACCTACAAAATACGAAAACCGCAACCAAAGTGTTGACACACATGCACAGACTGGTAAAGCATGACGAAAAGGAACGGTAGGATAACATAACGTGCAAGCGGCGACGGAGTACGAAAACATGGCGCAGAAGAGAGAAAGAGCTTCGAGGCAGACGACCTTTCCTCAGAACAAACGCCGCAGGGGCCCAAGAGGATCTGCCATACTTGGTAGCTGTAATGTTGGCCATGAGAGTGGTGGTAATGGCAAGGAGGAGAACGAAGGCGCCCACAAACGAAAGCGCGTACAAAACAGCGACCTAGTATTATTACCTACTGTTTCTGTTATTTAATCAAGAGGGTAGCTTAGACTCCGCCATGACGTCATGATGTCCGCTCGCGGGGTCCTAGATGCCAAGGCCTTTGGTCAACAGCTATTGTGTTGTCGACTGCACAGAGACTAACCCCATGTTTTTCGTCGGTTAGCCTGTGAGCGCGGTCGATGCAACTACTAAAACACCTATCTTTCAGTGGGCATGCGAACCTATGTAGCACCAGGCCCGCCTCAAGACTGGGTTCATTCGGCAACAGAACAAAACAGAAAATTAGACAGCAGAGCTGTTAGGTGGCTGTACCCCTAACCCTAGGCCAGAAATCATGAACTAACTCACCCTTACGAAGTGCCCTACGATGGTGAAGATACGAGACGCCCTAGTTTTGGGCAAGATGCACATGCCGATGTCTTCAACAACCAGGGCCTCCAGGAGAACGAGCAGCCACATCCTTGCTACAGCGGGGGCGAGAAGGGCGAACGCAGGTGCGGCGCAAAACGCCTGCACTATGGCATTGAACACCGTCGTATGGGGGGCCGGCATCTCTCCCAACGATTTCCCGTCCAAAGTAGGCAGAAGCCTCCCCAGACACGTACTGACGGGAACAGACTTTGCATGCGAGTCCGGGACCTCGAAACGCTTTCCGGCCATGTCAGGGTCCTGTGCCAGGACTTCATTGCGAGCCAATAGAGCCGCTGGCCCGGGACACCAGGTAGACGCAATGTCATCCTCTGCGTCTCCCTCTGCGTCCCCGTCGTGAGACGATAAAAGATTCTTTTTTACCGAAGCAACTGCGTACGTCACCACCACGAGAAAATATCGTAGGTGAGCATCGAAGAGTACAATATTCTTCGAACTTTAAACTACAATGTAGCACAAGAGGAGAGAGAGAGAGAACGCGAATAACGGAAACTACTGACGTAGTCCTACCTAACCCCCCGTACAAAAATGTAAACATTTAACAACAAAATACTTCACGGACGCTGAGCTTTTGTGCCTTTCAAAAAGGACCTAAAGGGCACCACAAGTAAACGGTCATTGGGGAGTGCGGAGTGCCGAGTGCGGATAAGAGGTATAGGCAGTATGAAATACACCTACGTAACGTGTAGAGAACTCTGATCAGAGAGCATGGAGTTGACGAACTCGCCCGTGTGCGCTGCTTACCGTCAAATTTGTTTTGCTTCTGGTTGTTGTTGGTGGCCAGGCGAACGTCTGAGGCGTTGGGCTAGCTTGGAGTACGGATGCGTAACTAAACATCATTATGCACGAGAGGAGCTGACTACAGAAGATCAGGCCAACATTCTACTCCGCATGTCATGTGTGTGATACGACGCGCAATTCTGCGAGATGTATGCACGTCTCGAAGCAGCGCGCACGCAGAGAGGGAGAGAGAGCGTTCCTCCCCGGCTAATACACACAACAGAGAATACTGACAGCCACGTATATATTGGAACACGGATGTTTCAGAGAGCACTATCGCTGGTGTGCCTTGCTCTGCTGAAAAGCCCAGTGCGTCGTGTATACACCCCAACGGGGACACGAAGATAGTAGTGTGAACGTGTTGCGTTTGTGCAGGAAGCTAAAGCGCCGGGCAGGAAAGGGAGAGCATATAATGCCATGTCAAAAGCGACAAGATTAGGTAAGATTCCACGGGACAAATCCGAGAGAGAGAGAGAGAGAGAGAGAGAGAGAGAGAGAGAGAGAGAGAAAGAAATCCCCGGCGGTGCGGTTTAGTAGAAGGACCTGCTTGGAGATATTGGATTGATCCCCACTGAAAATACACACGACAAAGAACACAGACAGCCACGCATATATAGGAACACGAATGTTTTGCGAAAGCACTATCGCTGCTGTTTGTTGCTCTGTTGGAATGCCGGCGTGTGAGAGCCCGATAAATGAGAATACTGCTCTGTGGACGGCCCGCCGGAAATGTGTCTCTCGAATGGCGAAGAATGGCGAAACGATAACCGCAAGACGCAATGCAATACTGGAAGATGACGTTCGCAAAGAATGATCGAGGTTTCACAACACATAAACCCAAAGAACGAATATTGATAAATTGGGTAAGGGAGGGGGGGACTGTGCGGCTCATGCGCCACACCGAAAGACGGGCGGTTTTGAAAAACCACAAGGCAAAGGCGTCTCTCGGTACCCCCCAGTACCAAAACATCTGAAAAATCAAGAAAACGACAAGCTAGGTGATCGGAGGAACACGGCGCGCCAACTTGAAGCTTGCTGAAAAACACAGCGAACTTGTGATTGTGTCAAAATCATTAAATGACCTCTCCAACACGAAACAAAGCGACGATACAAAATGACATTCAAAAACAATCTTAGGGACTCTCACTCCAAACCCGAACACAGCAAGGGCGGTCCTATTAGAAAACCTCACCTCGAGCCTCTTCCATGACATGATGGAAAACGGAGCGTAGAAGCTCCAGGAGACGTTCCCCGCCGTGTAGGAGCAGGTCTAGGCCCCGAGTCTTGGCTGGCATAACGTGGGTCTGGGAAACCAGAAATGCCCGACTGCGAGGACCGAAACCGCCGCTTCTGAGTCCACCACCCCCTCTGATCAACAGCCCGATCGGCAGCCTGGTTGCGCCACCTTCCTTCATGATCCAAGATGCGTCGTCGCGGAGAGCTGCGGAGCAGGAACAAAGTCAGGCAACAAACACATACTAATGTATGAGATAGAGCGCGCGAAATGAAAGAGACTGCGTCAAAATGCAGTGTTCGCCAACATCTTCACCCGAGATAATTAAAGACCTACCGAGGAATCCACACGATGCCTGACCAGCACGAAGAGCCGACCCTACGCCACCCGCGATCCTCAGGGAAAGGCCGTCCATCCGAAGAACACTCTCGCCCACCGAGGGGAGGTGCCCGATAGGCAGCTGCCCGGGAATGACGTCGTCACAACGAGGATCCCCCAGGTCGGCGAGCGTGTTGAATCCAAACTTAATGGACTCCAACGAGCGGACGCACAACGCGTGCATGAGGCAAACTACCACCTCTGTGGGAAGAGCGAAAGTAGCGTCGATATCGTTCCAGCCACCAACCTGTACGCCAAATACCTCGCCCAACAAGTCAGCGCACATGCGCTCGAAACCCTGTGCTGCTCCGTCATCGGCACCATCTGACTCTAAGAGGTAGGTGACCTCGGTGCGTAGCGATCCATTCGCGCCCTTCATCCCGGAAATGATTGCCAAGGCGGCTTCCCTGCCCTTGGCAACAGCTGCATGTGCCTCTCCCACACGCGCATCGGACAGGAACGCCCCGCTGACACCAACACCACGGAGTAGCTCTACAGCGTTGGAAACCCTTGAGCCCCGAAGAGCTACGGCCATGGCGTGCCCCTTAGAACTGTTCGTGGCATGCAAGACCGTCGGCGAATACACCTGGGTGTACCACAAGCGTGAGTTTTAACGTGTGATCGTAGCCACGAATTCCGTATCCGGTTGGATGTTGTTTACGATATTGACCGCGCTGAAGTATGGTAAGGAGAACATGGTAAGGAGTACAGAAAACGCACGTGGGCGCAATCGGATTCTGAATGCTCTTGACTTCATCGCACGCGGGTGCTATTCCAAGGATCACTGATCTCCATACAACGATAGTCGAACATAACCAACTCCGCCCAACAAGCTAACAGCAAATCCAACGATGAAAATACGAGGTACCTCTACTTGAGTGCCCCGGAACCACTCGCCGCACTCGGTATCGGTGTTATCGAACGGAATATCAGTATGGGACAATCAAATTCAATATATATTCGAGATTGCTTTTTGACTGCACGGGGATCTGATATCACGGATACGTCCGACATCACCAAACCATGCGTCCTCTCGTATCCTCACGATATTTCGACCGCAATATTGTTCTTTGTACCGAAACCACTCTCCATATTTTTATTCCCCGGCAAATCGTCATGAGTTACGATTACGAAGTAGGTTAGGTTTAATAATCGAAACCTCCTAAACCAAAATCGCTCGGCAAGGCTGGAAGCATGTAGAGACACACGTAGAGACGTCATCGTTTGAGATAACGCGGATAAAGATCCGGGTGCGATCGTACTTCGGTATACCTACTGGTATCGTTGTACTACTTCAATTACACGTGCATAGCCGATGAAAAGACCAAGCACCTCCACATTCTACACATAGACTACATATGGTAGGTACGATCCTATACCCATCGTACCCCTCCCATATGTGACATTCCGAGCCTAATAATCCTACCGGCTGGACACAGTCAACGGAAGGACGTCTAAGGCTTACAGAATAGCGAACGACCAAAGCCAAAGCCACTTGCACCCCACGCCATGTGCGCCTGATATGCAATGCACACATTCACCAATAGAGCGCGTCGACGATTAGTTACGCAATATAACAGCAAGGTCTAAACCCCGTCATTGTCAAACCCTGAGCAAGAAGCAAAACAAATAACCAGACTACGATAATCCCAAGTTGCACGAAAAGTTGTCATCAAAAACAACCTTGGAGGCTGAGTCGAAATCCTAAGTGGCAGGTCTCAGGGGCTAGAAAGTAACCTCTACGGTTTCTTCAGGAACATCGAATTTTCTTCACTTAAAACAATCTGAAAACCGGAAACGATGCACTCACGTTCAAGTTTGTCCTCGAGATGACTCCCGCCAATTGTGCATCCGCTGAAGTAAGAGCGTTAGACGCATCGTCGAGGATAGAGTGTCGGGCGACGGCGGGTAGACTTGGTTTTCCATACGCTTGGCCTGCATCCAGCGGGACAGTAACAACGACATAGTCTTCAGCAGTCACAAGCCACGAGGAAGAAGGAGCAGAGCACGTGCAGCATGCGTCGCACCCCCAGCCGCCCCACGCCCCACCACGAAATAGAACCACGTGTTTCGAGAGCTATCACCATAAAGCGCGTTGCGCACGAAGTGTAACTACGTAGATCAGGCCGACAAATTTCCGTTCATCGCTACCGAGGCTAAGCCTTCAGGGGCACAGGAATCCACGAAACCTCACGAATCTTGTCCTGTTCTGCAGGTTGGGCTGGTGCGATAATTTCAGTTATGCACAACTGACACGATGTCGCCTGAGGCTTGATGAAACCTGCATCCCTACACGGACTTTTGCTCACGGCTAAAAACGGCTAATCCAATTGAGTAGGAAGAAGAGGGATGGAAGTCGATGTCCACCTCGCGTTAGTGGAAACGTACTGTGAAACCCTGACAACGTCCTACGGAAGAAGATCAGACGCCCCACAACTCACACCATCCGCCCCAAGAGCAAGTCAGCAAAAGTATTGTCGGATTCCGCCGACACAAAACATTTCACCACGAATAACCGTCCCTAGATGCCGTAAAAGCAGGAAGACAACTGACCAAGACAGAACCTAAGTTATGGTATGTTATTCTGCAAAGGGTGGGGCAGGGGAAGTCTCATGACCAAGGATGTCTCCAAAGGACAGTACGGCACCTGAGATGGAGGCGCATTGGTCGGAACCAAAAAGGGAGTACTTGGTCACGTCGAAGCCCAGATCCGTGCCACGTCCTCCCTCGTATCCCACCCCGCTCCGACCTGAAGCCCCCCCACCAGCAGCATAGTAGTCGCCCCTCGGAGCAAGCAACACGTCGTCCGAGCCCTGTGCTCGTGACATCGTCACAGCCAGATCGACGGATATCTCGCTGCCAAAGCGATCTGCATTGAAAACAGTCGAAACCTCCGTAAACGCCGTACTCGCGAATGCGACCATATTGTCGGCTAGGACGGTTTGCATGACTTCTTCACCGGGCTCGGTGAGGGGAGCCCAAAGCGCGTGCTGCAGGCAGGGAAATCATCGGGAGGGCAGGATTTTTGCAAGGTGTAGTATGTAAGAGCGCTCATAACTACTTATCCAAACCCTTATCCAAACCCTTGCGGGACCTGTGGAAGAGCTGTGAAAGAGAGTACCCGGGACTAGTCCTTCAACATGTTGGAAACCTGACGAACACACGGAACGCCTAAGATTGGTTATTAAGACACAGCGGTACCGTGGGTGTTTGGATGCCTGCAAACACGCATTGAGCTATCCAAAACGCACAGAGACAAAAAGCAAACCCAGGTCAGGAAACGAGGTGGAGATCACCCCTGCCCGCTGCATGTTGTATGTCCGTTTATCCTGTTTGTATGCTCCCGATACATTTATATGTGGCGGGTGTCTCATAACAATAACAATGGAAGACCTAACCGAACGCACGCAGAGTTACGGATAATTCAGGTTGAACCCGAACTTGCGATGTGTATCCGCGGACGTCAAGCGTTTCATTGTTGCCAGCCCCAAGGATACCGACAATCGTCGTGTTTGCTGCGTGATGTGTGTTGATCTGTGTGTTTCTTCACCACCCTTCGACCCTCAAAAGAGTACTACTATTAGCGAACGCCGGGCATGTAGAAACACACACAGCGGTCGAACATATCTCCAGAGCCTTTCCTGACTCGTTTCACGACCACATTTGTAACCCTTCACCCACCTGTGACTACTAGCTACTGGGACGTGGTTCGCAGTCACTCGTAAATCCCCTGCGCGGCGAGACCTGCTTCGAGTAAGAGGGAAATCACTACGGTGGCCCAAGAAATGCGCGCGACAATTCCCCACCTTTTGGTTGAAGGCCTTCAATACAATCATGAAAGGCTGGGCGTCCGGCCTGAACTCGAGCCCGAATCCCCTAACCAACTCCCTGTTGAGTTTCTTGAAAAAAGAAGTGCGTGCGTCAGCCTCGGGCGGGAGATAGATCACCTCCTTGTGAGATGCGAGACGTAGCTGCTGGGTGGTGTGCGTAGGCCCCACAAATACCGCCCTGAACCCCTCACGCTTGCTTAGCGCAATTAAGGTCCTCGACAACGCCTCCTGGTAGACATCAACGTCGGGAATCGTTGCTCGTCTGGCGACGGTCCGGCCGTCCGGTGAATCGTTAGGATCCCTCCGGTACCTGATTTTCACACGAAAGCAAGTAGCAGGAGGTTAAACCTCACACGGCGGAGACACACGGCGAAGAAATACACGGCAAGTATGATCCCATTCCCAAGCTAGCGGCTCAAGTAGTTTGCTCACGTCAGCATGATGAACATCTTGACTTCACCAAGGGAAGGCGAGCCATGTCCGAAACCAATCTGGAAGTTAGTGATGTGTTGGGCCTTGACCCTCGCGTCCTCGCCCGGCACAAGAAGACGATACTTGCCGCTAGCGATGCGTTCGCTCGGGAGGGGACGCTTCAAGAGTGACACCACTGCACCGTAATCTCCGCCAGTGATGACCTCCCCGGCTTCCGTCAAGTCGCAGCCAGTCTGAAACGAGGAACCACAAGAGCGTGGGACAGCCACGGGTGTTGCCTGAGCCGAATGACATACAGCCAGGAACGGTGTAGGTCGGAGTCAAAGTATATAATCTTGACGCAACTTCGTACACCAGCATCGCCTGCTAAATGAACCCCGGCAAAGCGCGGTGCCCTCCACTGATACTCATTGCCTACCCTCAAGCCATCCAGGTCTATCCTGAGGGCGGCTTGCGCGCCTTCTTCCCTTTCCACATGATCCTTCGAAAGGTCCAGCACGTGCCCCTTCGGCATCCAAGCCCTCTTTATGGCCTCGTGTCCCCTGCATAACATGGACAAAGCCAGCCGGCAATAATTGGGGAGCGATGTCATAGAGAAAAACGTGCGAAGGGTGGACCGACCGCGTCGCACGGCAATTTGGCACGGCACTTTGTACAGCGCGAGTAAGAGTATGCTTGTAGCCGACGTGAAAATACGATGGTAGCAGCAACCACCACTTGGAAAGGCAAGCAGAATTCCCCCAACTGCTACACGAAATCGCACCTGGCCGGGAGTTCCAGGCCTGAGTCCGGTCCTATTTCCATCCCATCCCTCACTAAGGTGAATGCTCCCACCCTGGTTCCTCGGCGCGATGATCTGGGGGTCGATTCCCTCTGCAACGGCGCTAAGCTCCCAAAATCCCCATCCAGGAACTGCTCGACGAAATCGACCACTCCACCGCCGTGCTCCTCCTCTGCATCGTCAGCAGGCCGTGTGACAACCCCGTCTAAACCCTCGACGGCTACTGGGTCGGAACGACCTTCGTCAGGCGTGTGGGAACCCGCGAGGCTTTGGTGGGTTGATGTAGACGCATGGAAGCCCGACGACGTGTCACCCTGTGAAGGAATAGTTCCGGATTCGCTCCTGAACCGAAAGTAAGAGTAAAAGAATATCAATAACGCGAAACCAAGCAGCAAGGTTGGTTGACCAATATATCCAAACCACAGATGTGCTTGCTACATTTTTTCTAACCATTGCGTTAGATATATTGCTTGAGCATGACATCTCCCTGGATGTTTTTAAAGCGGGGTCTGAAGACCATCCGAGGAAGCCATCGTATTCCCACCGACGCGGTGCACCTCACAAAACCATGCCTTCATATTCTGAACGCGTTGTGTGCATCTAGAAGCGATGGAGACGGAGACAGAGTGTGATTGCTCAGAGGTACAGTGGGGGGGCCTAAATAGTGCGGGTGCCCGCTTTAGTTCGAGTTAAATCGCGTGGCACACATAAGCCCCCTCAGGAACTCGGGGCACCCCTCTAATAGCGAGTATTTCAGATGGATCCAACCTATGGGGGGAGGACTCTGAAATTGGTGTTTATTGGAGTTGATGAGAAGTGAGCATTTATTATCATGTGCCAAAGAGGATGTCTGCGTGCGTATAGAAGAGGAGTCATGCGCACCGAGAGAAGGCAGCTGCTCGCAGGACATTCCGTTGCGCCCGATCACGTTGAAGCATCATCAGTGCTTGAGCACAGGGACTGCTAAACGTACGAGTGGACAACACATGGGTTGTGTCATTTTGTTGTGTCATTTCGCCACATTCGACCGTGGTCAAATAAATGTCGTGAACTTGTCGCAGAGGCTTGGAGAAGTTCTAAGTTACTTGTAGCTAAGGGGGTGTCCCCAAGCAGTACTACTGCTGCTGTACTTCAAGACTTGAAAACCAAATAAGAAGTGTCCCCAGCCCATCACCGCTTACTTCAGTACATGAAGTAGCAATCTACAACTTCCTAGTAACAAGGTCCTGCTTGCACGTCGTGCCGTAAACACCACCACACGCAAGCACACGCAATGGAGAAGGAGAAAGCCAAAAGAAAGCCTGTACGAAAATATTCCAAAAAAAAAACTAAACATTTTTGTGCGCCCTTGACCAGGCTATGATTTTTTTTTCACATGATGTTGCCTCGTACCAGAGCATTCTCTACAACAAACAATTACTAGCCCGGCGGCGGGAGACCTCTTATTGTGTAGGGTTAGGCTTAGGCTTAGCGAGATAACTAGCTGACTGTGTACAAGGCGTCCCTCCGGAGTGGAGTAAAGAGAGCGCCGTCCCAAAAGGGGTGATGCAAAAAGCTAACAGAGAACTCGTATTTTCTGTACTAATAATGAAAGGATTCGGGGCAGGGCGGCGCGAGCTTATTTTTCGACAATTTTCTGGATTTGTTTTGGTTGAGAGCCCGCAGCCGCGGGGATCGATGTGAATATATGTGCATGCTGACCTCCCGACCTCGGGCTAGGCGGACTGCACGGAGATGTGTGCACTGTTTTGCATCTCTAGGGACACCGCCACGACATACATTGATTGGCGGACTGCTGCTGGAAACAACATAATGGGGCTCCTGCTGCATGTATGTAGTTTGTTCGGCACAGCAGCCAATGATGACCAGCTAGCTGAACGACGAATTGAGCGAGCGGCGTGTTTTTTTGGATTTTTCGCGGTTGGTTGAAACCCCGCATGCCGCACGCATGTGGAAGGTTGTGTTGTACAACCTGGTGTTTTGTCAGAACGGTTAGAAAGATCAAAGGGGGCACCGTAGGTAAGAGAGAATTGATAGATAGGTAGGCATGTGTAACGGAAAGAAAAGAAAAAGAAAGAGATGCACCTTGCTCACAACAGAAGAAACATCTGAACGAAAGAGCAAGCCAACAAACAAACAAGAGGAGGAGTAGAAGAGAGACAGAGGAGGAAGAAGAAGGAAGCGAGCGTACCGAAGGGAGGAGACAGACAGAGAAAGAGAGCAAGAGCATCGTCGGTTCGTTTTTTTTTCAACGTCGGCCGACCCGGCGCTTGAGCGCGGGGGCCGGGATCCTGCTGCCGAGCGCGGGGTCCCATGCCGAGACGGTAAGGCTTGGGACGTTGACACCGATGCGGCGCCGCGACGAGGAGGAGGAAGAGCAAGGCGGATGGCGGGGCCAAGGAAGGGGAGAGGATGGGGGCTCGCCGCAGAGGGGCGGAGGTGAGAGGAGGAGGTCGTTGAGCCAGGGTGAGCGACGGGTGACCAGCGTAGAAGGCATGGGGACTTTGAGGATTGAGTCACGCCTATCGCCGTCCGTGTATACAGGGGGGAGAGCGCGCCACTCAAGACCTAGGCAGACGCGCTCCAATTCACCAATGGTAGTTAGGCGCAACCAGTCTACTTACGTCAGTCGCCGGGGTCTGTCACGTACGCAGCATGTCCCGTCCTCAC